ATAATAATATGTTACTGGCCAAACGAATAGAATACAAATATTTGTATTTTTCTATATAAAAATTTGCAAAAGTATATAATATATAATAACCCTAATATATATATATATATATATATATATATACGAATATCATAATCTTTATTTTGATTGTTAGTTTGAAAATGAAATGATCGTGCGGCCGCCTTTGAAGATTCTCGATTTATCGGATAACGCCCTACGATATTTACCGTCGCAACTCGTAGAAAGTTGGGACAAGCTCGAAGAATTGGATCTGATGAACAACGAATGGAGCTGCGATTGCGATAATCAATATCTGGTAAGTTCTGGCAATCACAGCCCGTTCGTTTATACGCGCGCACCCACCCACACGCACCCACATACACACACATACACTTTTTCTATCTTTCTCTCTCTATCCCATATTTTTTTTTTTATTCTATCCTTTTGCGAGGAGGACATACAAAAAAAAGAAAAAAAATGGCAATATCCCTTTTCACGAAGAACTGATCACCATGATCCTCCCCCATACCCCCCCATTCCCGTTGGTAACTTAACTCGATCATCGGCCACGTCTCCTCATTCCGCGTTCATTGCCACCATCAATTGATATCTCGTTTCGAACAAGAAAATAATGACCAAAATGGTGGTGTGCTTTTACCTTTCGATAAATAATACATTTTTCTTTCCTTTTTTTCTTCTTCTTCTTCTAATCGATAAAAAACTCCCCGCGTATTTTTTCGGCTATTTCGTTTGTTCGAAATCTCTTGGTAAGGGAAATTAATTGATAAGTAGGTGAATCAATTAAATTAACACACACACACACCCCATGCAAAAGTTATGGTAGTTAATTAATATTGTAAAACAAATTTTGTCAAGATTTCGGTTAAATTTATTCGCGTTTCTTTCAAAGTTTTTTCTTATTTTTCTAATCATAAAATTATAATTATTTTGTCATGTACTGTACAGGTGTGTTACAATTTACATTTTATTGTTACCTGTGTACACGCGATAAAAATTTAATTTATAATTTAGAATACAAGTAATATCATAGAAATTGATTTCGATTGAATTTAATTTTCTTTTTAATGTGTATGGGTTTTATGATTTTTTCTTATTTTTCTAATCATAAAATTAATTATTTTGTCATATACTGTACAGGTGTGTTACAATTTATATTTTATTGTTACTTGTGTACACGCGATAAAAATTGAATTTATAATTTAGAATACAAATAATATCATAGAAATTGATTTCGATTGAATTTAATTTTCTTTTTAATGTGTATGGGTTTTATGATTTTTTCTTATTTTTCTAATTATAAAATTATAATTATTTTGTCATGTACTGTACAGGTGTGTTACAATTTATATTTTATTGTTACCTGTGAACACATGATAAATATTTAATTTATAATTTAGAATACAAGTAATATCATAGAAATTGATTTCGATTGAATTTAATTTTGGGTTTTATGATTATAATTTTTGTTTGTTTGTTTTTCAGATCGATGTTTTGTTACCGAAACATGGAAAAAGATTGATGGGCGAGGAGGTTTACGAATTGAAGTGTAGTAAATCTTCGGAATATTATCCGGGAAAAAATTTAACATCATTGGAGAATATAAAATTGCGTTGTTCGAGCATACACGAATCATCAAATTCTAATAGCAAAGTTGGCGTATTGCACATAGGAGTAGTTGTTGGATTATTATTCGTTATTTTGATTAGTTTGGCATTAATTATTCTTTATCAACGTGGATATTTAATCGCTTGTTGCGGAAGAGGTGCAGCAACGTATTCCCGAGCATTTTACAAACGCACACCTGCCGATTACGATATTTAAATAATATTTATACATACACATATATATATATATATATATATATATATATATCTAGTCTGTAAATCAAAAAATAGGTAGACGT